TCTAGAATGGCACTTTGGGTGGGAAGAATGAAACAGAAGGAGTTAAAGAGAAAGTAATAGATGGGTTTGCAGAAGTAGGAGAGAAGATGGAGGTGCTCCAAGCCTGACCCCAGGCCTTTGGCTCGTCCTCTCCCAGACCCAGGGGCAGGTTCCTTCTTGGTTGTGTCTTTGTCTTTGTCTTCGTGGGTGCAGAATGGTTCTGGCAGATGCCGTCTCGCTTCAGCAGAAACAGATCTGGGTTTGTGGAAATGTTTTACAGATGGGCCTTTTCATATCCCCCTCTGCAGCTACTCCCACTCTGCTTGTGTGTGCATGACTCACCATTCGTCATTTCAATTACTGAGGCCTCCATTGACCGGCCTCTCCATCTGCCAGGCACACCCTCGCCAGCCACCAGCCAGCACTACTGAGAGGTAATGAGTGTTGTTGGGAGAAGTCACGCCTCTGTCATTAGCTCGAGACTGGAGAGTTGTTGTGATCTCCCCAAGCAATAACCACCGTAAACTCTTGACCACATTATTGTTTCTGAGGGTTATGGAGGCTCTGCAGAGCAGGGGCAAACAGTGGGGGATATTTGAAGTTGAATATTGAGTGGGATATTCCTGCAAATACCCTCCCATGTAAGCCACTGCCTGTCCTAGGACCATCCTACTGTGGAGGGGAATCAGGAGTGAAAGGAAAATTCTGATTAATTACCCTAAGGGAAGAGTCATCACTTTCATTAGCTTATAAAGGTTATTTGTGGTTTTTGCTTTTTTGCTGGGTATGATGACATGGGAAGATATTTGACTATGACCCATAACTACTTCTCTATCACTGTCACAGGCTTGAGAAGGAAACAGCAAAGGGGACACTCTAGACCAAATCTGTTGGTGTAGTACTATAAAGCTTTTAGGTTCAACCTCCAGTGGGAAAGTCTTGGCCCCACATTGACTAGACTGGGCTGGGGCACCTGGTTCAAAGAATATTCTTTTTAACCTTGGTAGAGGCAGCCCAAGTGGACTAATTAAAGACTCTTCTATTCCTTTGTTCCAGAGTCCTGCCCTAACCTTTTGTCCCAGTCAGTATCTTGAGATGGAAAGAAAAAGGGAGATGAGAATCAACAAAAGAGAATTACTCCAAGGCAAGAACAGATATCTCCCCAAGGCCCAGAGTATAGAACATGGGCACCGCCCAATCCCAGGCTTACACAGTTCAAACAACCTCAAATGCACACACACACACACACACACACACCCCTGGTCTAGCACTGTCACTGCTGCCACCCCACTAACTGCCCTGTCACCTCTACCCCTCCACCCCAAATCTCTGAAATACAGCTCAACCTAGATGGAAAATCACACCTGCCATGGCCAGAGCCTGGGGAGACTGAGAGAAGCCAGCCAGGGAGGCCCTCAGGCTCCACACACCCACAGCGCTGTCAATGAGAACTGAAGCAACCACTCCTCCTTGTCTCTCTGTGCCCTGGACCTTGCCTTGTCTTTGGAGAGAATGAGGGAGGGGAGGTGTATTATTCAGGGTCCTTCAGAGAAGCATAAACAATAAAAGACATATAGCTATAAGACATTTATTATAGAAATTGGCTCACTGTATTATGGAGACTGTACTGCCTCCATAGTCCTACCATTGTCATCTGCAAGCTGGATACCAGAAAAGCTAGTGTTGTAATTCAGTCTGAGTGCAAAGGCCTGAGGCAAAGGAGAGGCAATGACGTAAGTTCCAGTGGTGTCCAAAGGCCTGAGAACCAGGAGAGGCAATGGTATAAGTCCCAGTCCCTGAGGACCTAGAGCTCTGAAAGTCCAATGGAAGAAGAAGGTGGATATCCCTGCTTAAGAAGAGAGGGAAAATGTGCTCTTCCTCCTGCTCTTTGCTCTACTCAGGCCCTCTAGGGATTGGATGATGCCTTCCCATATTGGGGAGAGTAATCTTGTTTACTCAGTCTACTGATTCAAATGCTGATCTGCTCTGGAAACACCCTCACACACACACCCAGAAACAATTTTGGCAGCTACTGCAGCAATCTATAGCCCAGTCAAGTCAATACAAAAAATTAGCCATCAAAAGACAAAGAGAAAGGAGCCTTGAGAGCCCCTCCCCACCTACAACCATGAGTGATCCATAAACGAGGATGAAGAACCAGAGTTGAGCATATATTTTGCTTAAAACCCATGACACTCTGTTGTCTTGTAACTACCACTCATGTGTTCTGTGACCCCAGAAAAACCACTTCCCTTCTCTGCACCTCAGTTTCCCCATCTGCAGTCCAGCACAGTCCCAGCACACAACACATGTTCAATAAATGAATTATGGAGATCTCTAGTTAATATATAGGATGCCAGCCAGTTTGAGAGATCTATTAATACAATTCCACCCATGATTCTGCTCTTTTGCATATGCAACTTTCTTAGTTGGGTTCTTCCAGATGCAGACCCTGAGATGAGACTTCATCTGCAAGTGACTTATTAAGGAGTGCTTCTTGGAGACCAGCAGGGAAAAGAAGCTACTGTGTGGCGCCAGCAAGACCCAGCCTCCGCCTGATCCCACCGGGCACTCGAGAATGTGTTATGACTTTGCACCTCAATGCAAGGGAGCTGGGCTCTCACAGTTCTGGGCCCACCAGTCACTGGCTATGGGGCCTCCTGGGAGGGGCGTATGAAATCCCAGGCACCTGCATCTCTGCAGGAGTGCAAGGGTCGCCCCCTGAAGTAGGTTTAAGTGACAGCCCTTGGAGGTAACGCATAATGAAGGTGGGGGAGGTGAGCACGAGGAAGCAAAGGAATGATCTGAGGGATCTGGGTCAGAATAGAAAAATTGGGAATGACAAAGTTAGGAATGAAAACCTCCAGGTTTCAGTGAATAATGATTGAGTACTGTGCGCCAGGCAATATGGTAGGCACTGAGGAAATAACAAAGTAAAAGGAACTTGTTGTTGTCCGCATGGAACTCACCATGAGAAACAGGCAGTAATCAAAAGCAGGGCCCAAAGCCTGTACAGTCACAACAGTGCTCAGAACTACTAGGGAGACACAGCACGTGTTGGAAGAATGTGTGGGGGGGGAGTCAGGAAATGGGTGGTCAGCTGCTTTCTGAAAAAAGACATGTAAAGGAGACAGAGCTACAGCGGGTGGGAAGGGGACAGAGCTGCATTTGAGGGAGGGGGAACAGATTGTGCAAACTGTTTATTAAATGAATGAATGAGCAGATGAATGAATGAATATCAGAAATAAATATTTCAGTAATTTAATTCCTCTGGGGGAAATCATCTAAAGAAAATCTAAAAAGGTGCATTTGAGTAAGAGGAGATGGGGGATGATCTTCTGTTGAGCACTTGTGTCCTAAGTAGGCTGTACTATTTACACATTATTTTATTTACTCATTGCAGCAACAAGAAGTACCTTCAGCTTTTTAGAGAAAAGTGAAATTGAAGCCAGAGAGGTCTTGCCCAAGGTCACACAGCTTCCAAGTTGAAGAGCTGGGATTTCATTTCAGGTCTCCCATTTGCCACCACCCAAGCCCTTTCCACAATTCCACACTGTGAACTTGCTTCCCAAACAAAGGTACTGTTGCCCACGGGGGGTGTTCTAAGCTGAGGTTAATATTAATAAATAAGTCAGTTCTGTTGACACCCCCATGTTAATGTAGCATCATGCCCAGTCATCAATTTCCAAGATGCACATCAATAGTTAAATGTTACTTAAAGTGCCCAGAAAGGACTCTTGAAATTACAGACATGGAGGAGATGGAACCAATGACACGTGGGGCCGCCATGCAGCTACCATCCCTTGCAGATCTCTCCATTTTAAGCCTGCAAGCCCCATATTTAGGGTAGCTCTATGTGTCTTGCTGGTTAGCTTGTGCAGCACAGAAGGATGTCAGCCCCACAAGTCTTTCCCCAAATGCCCTGACATAATTTAACTCTGTGACCCCACCCAAATCTTGTCTCAAATTGTAATCCCCATGTATCAAGAAAGGGAGATGATTGGATCATGGGGGCAGTTTTGCCCATGCTGTTCTTATGATAGTGAGTGAGTTCTCATGATAGTGAGTGAGTTCTCATGAGATCTTATAGTTTAAAAGTGTTTGGCAGTCCCCGCCCCCTCACTCTTTGTCTTCCTGCTGTCATGTAAGATGTGCCTTGCTTCCCCTTTGCCTTTTGCCATGATTGTAAGTTTTCCAAGGCCTCTCCAGTCATGCAAAACCATGAGTCAATTAAACCTATTTCCTTTATAAATTATCCAATAGTTATTTATGGCAGTGTGAGAATGGACTGACACAATTTTCTCAGATGAGAAAATTGGTACCAGGACTGGGGTATTGGTATAAAAATACCTGAAAGTGTGGAAGCAACTTTGGAACTGGGTAATCGGCAGAGGTTGGAACAGTTGGGAGGGCTCAGAAGAAGACAGAAAAATGTGGGAAGGTTTGGAACTTCCTGGAGACTTGTTGAATGGTTGTGACCAAAATGCTGATAGTGATATAAACAGTGAAGTCCAGCCTGAGGTGATCTTAGACGGAGATAAGGAACTTATTGAGAACTGGAGTAAAAACCACTTTTGCTATGCTTTAGCAAACAGACTGGTGGCATTTTGCCTTGCCCTAGAGATCTGTGGAACTTTGAACTTCCACAGAGAGATAATTTAGGATATCTAGCAGAAGAAATGTCTAAGCAGCAAAGCATTCAAGATATGACCTGGCTTTTTCTAAAATCATACAGTTATATGCATTTCCAAAGGGATGATCTAAAATCGGAACTTATGTTTAAAAGAGAAATGGAGCATTAAAGTTTGGAAAATTTGCAGCCTGACCATGTGGTAGAAAAGAAAAATCCATTTTCTGAGGAGAAATTCAAACCAGCTGCAGAAATTTGTACAAGTAAGTAGAATGAAATGTTAATTGCCACGACATTAGCAAAAATGTCTCCAGGGCATGTCAGAGATTTTCACAGCAGGTCCTTCCCTCACAGGCCTGGAGGCCTAGGAGAAAAAGTGGTTTAATGGCCCAGGCTCAGAACCCTGCTGCTCTATGCAGCCTCAGGACATGCTGTCCTGAATCCCAGCCACTCTGGCTACAGCTGTGGCTAAAACAGGTCAAGGTACAGCTCAAAATGTGGCTTTAGAGGGTGCCAGCCCCAAGCTTTGGCAGCTTACATGTAGCATTGAGCCTGTAGGTGTGCAGAAGATAAGAGTTGAGGTTTGGGAACCTCTGCCTAGATTTCAGATGATGCATGGAAATGTATGGACGTCCAGGCAGAAGTCTCCATGAGGGGTGGAGCCCTCATGGAGAACCTCTATTAGGGTAATGAATGCAGAGAAGAAACATGAGGTTGGGGCCTTCTCACGGAGTCCCCACTGCGCCTAGCAGAGCTATGAGATGAGGGATACTTTCCTCCAGACCCCAGAATGGTAGATCCACTGATAGCTTGCACCTGGAAAAGCTGCAGGTACTCCACCACTACTAGCCCATGAAAGCAGCCATGGGCACTGTACCCTGCAGACCCACAGGGGTAGAGTTGCCCAAGGCCTTGGAAGCCCAACCTTTGCATCAACATGCCTTGGATGTGAGACACAGAGTCAAAGGAGACTATATTGGAGCTTTGCCCTGCTGGGTTTCAGATTTGCATGGGGCCTGCTACCCCTTTGTTTTGGCCATTTCTCCTGCTTGGAATACAGGCATCTACCCAATGCCTGTACCCCCTTTGTACCTTGGAAGTAACTAACTTGCTTTTGATAATATAGGCTCATAGGCAAAAGAGACATACCTTGTCTCAGATGAAACTTTGGACTTGGACTTTTGGGTTAATGCTGGAATGAGTTAAGACTGGGAAACTGTTGGGAAGTCATTATTGTGTTTTGAAATGTGAGAAAAACATGAGATTTGGGAGGTTTAGGGCAGAACGGTTTCGCTCTATGACTCCATCCAAATCTCATTTTGAATTGTAATCCCCATATTTCAACAGAGGGATCTAGTGGGAGGTGAATCAATCATGGGAACAGTTTTCCCCGTTCTGTTATTGAGACAATGTGTGAGTTCTCAGGAGATCTGATGGTTTAAAATTGTTTGGCTCTCTCTCCAATGCTACTATGTAAGATGTGCCTTGCTCCCCCTTCACCTTCTGCCATGACTGTAAGTTTCCTGAGGCCTCCCCAGCCATGTGGAACTGTGAGACAATTAAACTTCTTTCCTTTATAAATGACCCAGTCTCAGGTAGTTCTTTATTGCAGTGTGAGAACGGACTAATACATGTCAGGAATTGGAGCACTTTGCTTCCTTTTTCTGCCCTTCTTCATTCTTTAGGAGTGGGGTACAATTAATTGGGGAGTGCAACTCATCCCTCAATCACTGAGCTGAGTATGAATATCAAAAGAAACATTTCCTGAAGCAAGATGCTGAGCTGGAAGCTCCCACGGTTGTGCCTATCCTGTGGCACTTCTGGACAAAGCTGTCAGGCCCCATGGAAACCTGCAGGGCTGAGGTCTTCCAGGGCAAGACGGGGCTGCAGGATGCTCACTACACCCCTGTGTCCTAGGGACAAGGACACAGCCCTCTCTGTGAGCAACGTTGACTTTCAATACAGGAGAGAGCCCCTGCTCCTCTTCACTCCAGAATATTGCTAAGAACATAATTGATCTCTCTCCTTTCCATTCACTCACATTTCCCAAAACAAAGGAAGAGAGACCCACTCAACTGATCAGAGCCTGACTTTCCATCACTGAGCCATGTTTTACTGTTGAGTGGGATCAACTGCTTCAAAAATCCATTTCTGGTGCATTTTATTGCCAGCTATTTCTTCATTCACAGGGTTGCAAGAGCCCTGGCCTGTACTTCCTCCACCCATCCAATATGTACCACCAGCCTACTGAGGGGCTCAGTGGCTTAGTAGTTTCAACCCTGGCTGCACCATGGAATCATCTGGGGAACTTTCCAATTACTGATGCCTGAACCTTAGTCTCAGGTTAATGGAAATCTGAGGAATGGGGACCCATGACCCGGAGTCTGTAAGGCTTTCCCATTGATGTGATGCTTGGTGAAGTCTGTTTGGGTGAGTACATTCAGTCGCCACGTACCACGACTTTTCCTATCTCTGTAGCTACATCTGGGTCCCTGGATCCCTGCAACTAGATTTAAGCTGGAAAATAATGTTCCATTTTGGCCTTGAGCCTAAGCCAAGTTTTTCAAACCTGCTTTTGGCAGAACAGTGCAATGAGGCATGGGGGTTTTGCCAATATACTAATAAAGCTGTGCTCTTCCATCTGCTGCAGCATCCCTGCGGGCCTGCTCTACCATCCTGAACCTGGAAGATAGGGGCAGCATGTGGGAGGAACTGAGTGGCACGACTCACTGGCAAACAACGCTGGAGACTTCCAACCACTTTAAAAATAGAATCACTTATTTCAGTATATCTTGGTCAGTTCGGCAAATGACTTTAGGTGGCTTATGCCGTAAATGTAGAAAACAAAATGAGGATAAAAATAGGAATAGTGATTTTAGACCAGAGAATTGTAATGTCAAGTAGAGAGCAGGGCAATTTAAAAAAACAAAACAAAACAAAAAGGCAGAGGAATGCAGATCAAAAACAAAGCAGGCAGTGAATGTACTAAGATTCTTCAGCCTGTTAAGAGCAACCGGGCATTGCTTGATTCGATAACACACATTTTGAGTGTAGGAACTAGACATTCTTCTCATTTTATAGATGAGAAAACTGAGACTTAACAAATTGTCTGAAGCCAGGCAGCTGGTGACTCGAGAGTCACATTCAGGCTGCCTGTTGTGGGGGCTCTGTTCCTAAGGCACTTCATGACCTCTTAAAGTTGTTTAGCCCTGAGCTTCCTTTCAACTAGAGTGGGGAAGACGGACACAGCCAGACACAAACAGATTCACTATCAGAAAGGATGAAGCATTCCAGTTCCCCAGGAAAAGTAGTATTTCCCCCAACCACTCGATTTAAAAATGGCATTCCTCTTGTGGGAGTGGGGAAGGCTTCACAAATGAGCAGAGTTCACCAGGTAGGCAGGGGTGGGAGAAAATTTAGGAAAATTGTACAGCACATTTAAAGACATGGACAATTGTAGGAAACCACCTGGTGTTGGGGGATACAAAAGTGCCAGGGTTTATGGAGCACAAAGTCAGGTTGAACCTTAGTCAAATTGGAAAACCAAAGACAGTGAAGAGAAAATTTAAAGACACAGAATACAGTCTTATTAAGGTGGGCTTCACTAATGTGGAACACGCAGTGATTCGGAGATGAAAAAAAAAAAAAAAACAGAAAGCATTCACAGAGCTGATTTATAATGTAAGCAAGATTGGAGGCAGCAGTTCAAAGCCACATAAGACACCAATAGGTTTTCAAATATTCAGGAGTGCATGGTCACATAGCAACAAAGATATGCTAATGACAAGCACTTAATATATTCATTGAAATAGGTCCCTGTGGTCCTGTGGTAGCACTCCTGGCTACACCTTATTAGTCTCTCTACTTTCTGTGCAATGTTGATGCGCACAGACCTGCCTTGCTTGGCTGGCTTCTGTACAAACAACCACCTTGCATCTTTAATTAAAGTAATACTCATTTATGTGTGTACCTTTAGCTGGAACTGTGGCTGAGAAGGGCATCCTAGTCCACCAATCTGCTTTCTGATGTCCCGTAAAGGATCTCTGTAATGCCCAGCACTTCTCGAGATTAACATCCAGAGGCAAAACCTGGGACTGGCTAAGGTTCATCAGAAATCGCATTACTTCCATTACCCACCTGAAAGATGTGAACAAAATGGAAATTGCCAGAGTGGCTAAGGCTAATTTTTCCTTTCACTGCACCTCATACAAAAGTGCATAATTAGGAAGGAAAGACAGGATCAGCCACCTCTGCATAAACACTGTGCGTGGCAGGGATTTTCAGCCAGCCTGACACAAAGAACTGCCATTGTGACTCCCACACATCCAGTGCCACCTAATATGACGTGAGGACATAGTGTTTGGATGCAGTAGGGCACAAATGCCAACCTCCCAGACCTCTGTGCATGTCTAGCCCTCTGCCAGGTGCAACCCTCCTCCTTTATCTGCCCCTTGAAATCCTCCTTCTTTCAAGAGAGAGTGTGGTGTCACCACCTCATGGATAATCAGGAATCGATGTGGGCTATGTGCCTAAATGTACTGCAGAGGCAGTGAGAGGGGTCCATTTCTACCCTTCACTCCTACCAGACAGACCAGCTACTCCAGATGGCGACGCCTAGCAGCTTTCTCCCCCTTGTCCTTTAGAACCCAACTTGAACCTTGATGCAGAAAGCACTGATTAAACAACTGGGCCGTAATCTTGTGAAAAAATTTATTAGTATTATTGGGAAAAAAAGGCACATGTATTGAAACAAGTATAAGGCACCACCTTGCCACCACCACGCTCCATCAAACTACAAATTAGTTGGTGAGAATGTGGTGAAAGGGAAATTTCCACAGGTGGTATGTCAAGTGGCATAAATTCTGAATTGCAATTTCACAGTATGATTCAAAAACCTTTTGAAAGATTGTTGGCTGACATCTAGACATTTATACTCTATGCAGATAATCAGGGATGCAGACAAAGTTTGATCATCATAGTAACAGCTAACTTTGAGAAGTATCCACTGTTAGGCACCAGGCCCTCACTTTATGTAGATTTTGTGAGGTTCCTACCTTGGAAAAATAAGAACAGTTCATCATAGAGGGTAGTTTGTATGGCATGAGATGGCACATTTCAAGCATTCTGAAGAGAAACTACCATGCAGAAAAAAAATGCAGTGAATTCTAGATATTATCATTATTATTTGCTGAAAAAAAATACACATTTTATCATGAAACATAAATGGGGCTTATTCCAGGTAGGATGGCTCACTATTGATAAATTGAATAATGTCGTTAATCATAATTGAACCAAAACATCCGAGCATTTTTATACTTTTTCAAAAAGCGTCTGATACATTTCAAAATCAGTTCCAAAGATAAAAATCTCTTAACAAGAGTGAAAGGATAGCATTTAAAGATTATCAATGCATCAAACAAGCGAACTAGTTAAGAGGTATAGCTGTTGCAAAAGCAGAATATGTTCGATCCTTCATTCGATTATTCATGCCTTCTACCAATATTTCTTGAATGAATTCTTGTGATGAAATCTGACAGCCCAGAAATAGTGCATTCATTTTGGTGGAGATAAATAAGGAACTAAGCAAATAAATGAACAAGATTATTTCCAATGGTGACATATGCTCTGCGAAGAAATGGATACAGAGTGATGAGGAACAGATTGAGGACTGGGTAGCTGTCAGAGCTGCCCACTGCATATGCTCCCCCACTCTTGCTACAGCAGCTAAAGGAACTCCATCGAGTTCAGCTTGAAAACAATTGGTCAACTGAGTCATGCTATGTAGCAAAGTGATTCCAAGAGAATGACAAGTCAGCAAAGAGTCACCTAGACATGAGTAACCTACAGAGCTGGGCACCTCTTACCAGCTCCACACCAAACCCCATCCTGAACCCTTCCCACAGAGCGATGATGTGACAACGTGAGTTCTCTGCTAGCCACAGTCCCCACCACTCCTTGTTGTCTCTCCCTATTGTCCTCCTTCATTCATTTGTCACCTGCTTGTCCCTGCAGACATCTGAGCTTTTGAGTCCCAACATGTTACGGCTCTGGGGTCCAAAGACCTGAAGGTGAAGACCATTTCTAAAGCCCATCTGCTCATGGGAAGAAACCAATTGAGGTCCTGGCAGGCTGGATACCTGCTGCTTCTAGAGATTTGAAAGGAGAGGAGGGGGCATCATATTTGTCATGGCACCCACCCTAACCACATCACAGATGGTCATCATCAACAGCAACGCTGCAGCCATGCAGGTCCATGGAGTGCTGTGTTCACCTGGATCTGGATTTGTTCCTGCTGAGTCTTCATTCCCAACATGTGTCCTTCCTTTTGTTTTCTCACTTAGTAGTAAAAATTCTTATTTGAATTTTTAAATATTTGTTACTGGTTTTAAGTATGTTTCAGAACAAAACTATGAGGTGGGCAAAAAAAAAAAAAAATGAAGAAAGCAGAGTGGGGAGGAAAGAGAAGGAAAAGGAAAGAAGAAAAGAGCCTCACAGGGTGGCATCAGCCCACAGCAGGCCCTCAACATTCAGTGTCATTGAGGATGTAGGCTGTGGACAACCTCAGTGACACTGAACGCTGAGGGCCTGCTGTGGGCTGATGCCACCCTGCAAGGTGCTACCCATGGATGATCCCAGGTGCCCGTGGAATGCCGGGCAAGAACACCACTCCCTCCTTCTCCAACTGTACTTCCATCTGGATCGTATGGAGAAGAAAGTCTTAGTTAAAAGCTAGCCTGTCTTTAACACTTTCCTATTCCCTGTCAGTAGCCATTGTAAACAAGGAAAGGCCTGGTCTCAGGCCAGAACTTTGGCAGGTAACAGTGTATAGTCAGGCTTTAATGATGCCGTGTAAGTTTCATTTTATATATATATATATATATATATATATATATATATATATATATATATGTTTAGGGTTGCCATCACAACTGAAGATAGTTTTTTATTGCTTTTTTTTTTTTTTTTTTGAGACAGTGTCTCACTCTGTTGCCAGGCTGGAGTGCAATGGTGCAATCTCTTCACACTGCACCCTCCAGCTCCCAGGTTCAAGTGATTCTCCTGCCTCAGCCTCCTGAGTAGCTGGGACTATAGGCGTGTGCCACCATGCCTGGCTAATTTTTTTTGTATTTTTAGTAGAGATGGGGTTTCACCATGCTGGCCATGATGGTCTCGATCTCTTGACCTCATGATCCTTCTGCCTCAGTTTCCCAAAGTGCTGGGATTACAGGTGTGAGCCACTGTGTCCAGCCCTAAAGATAGTTTTTTACTTATATCAGTAACACCAAGTTTTAAAAATCAAGTGCAAGTGAGTTGATATAAAAATGTCATGTCCATAATACTGCAGGTGGTTCTCAGGCAGGAAGGTAGTGCACATAAGACCAAGTGAGACCACCTTGATGTTAAGCCTTTCCAGCTTTCTTTTCCAGGACGTCACAGAAACAGTTATCATCTAGAACATGGGTAATCACTTTGGAGGGTCATTCCAATATTCTTTTACTGGTTGAAAAGTACCAAGGAGTAGCAGGTTGCTGGCTTAAGGAGGAGGAAGGGGAGGAGGTAGCAACCACAAATCATACATTTTATAAATGCCTCATTTTCTTACTTCTATGTGAGCAAGCCATAGCCCTATCTTGAAGAACATATTGAGAAATCAAAGGTACATGCCCTGTCAATCGAAAAGAAAACATAGGCTGAGGCCAGGTGACTGCTTGAGCCCAGGAGTTGGAGGCTGCAATTGAGCTAGGATTGTGCCAATGCACCGCAGCCTGAAACAATAGGTCTCTCATTCTGTGAGTGAGAGCTGTCATTCACATCACAACTATCTTCAGTTGTGATGGCAACCCTAAACATATATGTATATATCATGAAACTTACACACAGTATCATTCAAGTCTAACTATATACTGTTACCTGCCAGAGTTCTGGCCTGAGACCAGGCCTTTCCTTGTTTACAATGGCGACTGACAGGGAATAGGAAAGTGTTAAAGACAGGCTAGCTTTTAACTAAGACTTTCTTCTCCATTCTATGGAGAAGAATGAGACCCCCTCCCCCGTCTCTAAAAGCAAACAACCCAAAAAAGTAAAACCCATACACTTTGATATGGTTTGGCTCTGTGTCTTCACCCAAATCTCATGTTCAATTGTAATACTCCGTGTTGGAGGGGGGCCTGCTGGGAGGTGATTGGATCAGAGGGCAGTTTCTCATGGATGAGTTAGTACCACCCCCTAGGTGTTGTCCTTGTGATAGTGAGTGAAAGAGTTACCATAAAATCTGATTGTTTAAAAGTGTGTAGCACGTCCCCTCCTTCATCCTGCTCCTGCTATGTAAGACAACTTTGCTAACACTTCACCTTCCATCATGATTATAAATTTCCTGAGGCCTCCTCAGAAACAGAAGCAGCTATGGTTTCTGTACAGCCCGCAGAACCATGAGCCAATTAAACATCTTTTTTTAAATAAATCACCAAGTCTCAGGTATTTCTTTATAGCAGGGCGAGAACTGCTTAATACATTCTTCTACTATGAATAATGGAGAAGATAATTAAAAATAAGAACTAAGGAGAATTCCTGAGATCAAGATACATTGAAGTTCATCTTCCAATTGCTCTGGAACATACATTTGCATAGTAAACTCAGCATGTTGTGGGGTAATTTGTCACCCATGCGAAGGGCATTGTCTTGTGTTGGGATCTGAGGATGAGGATGAGGATGAGCGAAGGGCAAGGTCCCTGCCCTTGAAAATCTCTCCCCAATGTGAGGACAGGTGGCTTCTCATTTCTTTCACTCTATTCTTCTTTCTGAACTTCTGAATATACTAGATCCTAAGCTATGGACCAAGTACAAATATCTAATTCAACATAAAAAAACATATGATCGAATGCTTACATGTGGCAGATACTCTTTAGGGGAACACAGCAGAGAATAATATACACAGGAGTGTTGGCCTCAGAAAGCTCACTTTTTTTTTCTGGGGATGGAAAAAAATCTATAAAGAAATAAGAAAACACATTCACATCACAGACGAAAAGGGCTGTGCTGAAATCAAACAGGGAAGTGAGAGAGAGAGAGAGAACGCCTGTGAGTGGACAAGCCCAGGTGGCTCTGGACGGCCTTCCTGAAATGCGTAAACTGTGGACCCTCTTTAAGGGTGCTCAGATAGAACACGTGCAAAGCAGAACCTGAGAGGCGCAGGAGCATGAGACGTGTACCCTGCTAAGAGAGCCAGGGGTGGGCAAGGATTTCTGCTTCTGGAAGGAGGCGCCCAGCACAGGTGTCTCTGACAGATGTGGGCTCCTGAATGCAGCAGTCTCTGTAAGTGTTCAATGTGTCCACCATCCTGCAAATGCACTTGTCTTCTGAATCAGCAAATGCTCTGAAATCTTTGCACATTTGTTGGGAACAATGGCCCTCGTGTCTTCACCTTCCAAGATATTTCTTCTAGTTTCACACTTGTGGCTGGGAATAAAAATTCACTCTCACTTGTGAAGAAGTCCCTATGGCTATGGGGTGTTCCACAAGACCAGGGGCCAGGACAATGGCACTGACCTTGCCAGGATGCAGAAGCACAGCCAGAGGAGAAGCGACTGGCACACCTGTTATCCCTGCTGACCATCTCTGCAGGCTGCATGACGCAGAGGCTTCCACGGCTCTGGGGAGGCAAGGTCTGTGGTGGGAGATGCTCAAGCCTGGAGTCAGACAGACATGGGTTGAAATATTGACTCTTCTGCGTAAGGCCTGAGGACACTGGGGGAAGTACTCCATCTCTCCAGGCCTCAGTCTGTTCGTCTAGTAAGCTGAGCTACCTGTTCACAGCATTCCCTTTCATTCACATTTGCAGGGGAAGAAGGTTCGTAACCTGCCAAGGGAGAGGATGTGAGGCCCAGTGTTGCAGAGCAGCAGTGGCACCAGCTGAGAGCGGACTCCAACGTGCTCTTAAGGGTCAGGTTCAGAGAAAGCGTCAGGAGGGACAAGGGGACGGTGGCCCACCACATCTATCGTCTTGTCACCACACTCTCTGCCCTCACTCCCCCAGGGATGGGCAGCCAAGTCTCAGGAAATGCAGTAGCTGGGGCTCCTCTTCTTCCAAGGCTGCAGGGAGGAAAGGTGTTGAGAAGCGCTAGGGACCACTCCTCCCCAACCGACAGGAGGAAGAAAAGGCAATCCGCAGGCTGGACTGGGTACTTCCAGCCATGCGTGTTCCTAAAAACGTCACACTTATAGAAGTACAGAGTGGAATGGAGGGTGCCAGGGGCTGGGTGGAGGAGAGATGCTGGTCAAAGGGCATATAAACTGTTGATTATAGGAGGGGCAGGTCCTGGACTCTAATGTACAGCATGGTGGCTGCAGCTGATAAGAACGTCTTGTGTAGTCGATATTTGCCAAGAGAGTAGAACTTGGTGTTCTCACTGCACACAAAAAAGGTGACTGCGTGAGGTGATGGATGGGTTAATCAGCTCGAGTGTGGTAATCATTTCACAGCGTGCACACATATCAGACATCACTTTGGATGCCATAAATATATACAATGTTTATCTGCCAATCCTACTTTAAGAAAACTGGAAAAAAAAATGTTTCATTTAAAAATAATAGCCTACTGTGATCATGTTTAAACTTACCCTGTGAGTCAGTTTCATTATTTCCTTTAATAATCTAACTTTCTACAGTGAGTGTGTGTGTGTGTGTGTGTGTGTGTGTGTGTGTGTGTAAATGTTATGAACTCAGAACAGCCTGGTGCTAGTGTCTTCTAAATAAATTGCACCTTATGCTATGTTTTTATTTAAAACCACCATTATTATTGTGTGGGGGACAAAGTCTCAAGCTTGATATTCCAGGCCCCCAGGACCAGGCTGCTGTGCTGCAGAAGGTGTCCTGTAGTTACACACAGCAGGGGTCTTGCTGGGAATTCAGTAACACAAGGAATGTCCTGAATCTACAACATTCCCTTGTGATGGGTTTTCTAAGAAAAGAGCATAGTTTTAGACTCAGGACCTTGCAATGTGAACCTTAAATTGACCCCGTCATTTGGCGGTGGCATCTCAAAGTGTTCTCCACAACAGAAGCCCAGGTGGCCATTTATCAGTGAAGCATGCCTCCCTGGGAGTGGACGTTCACTCCAGGCTGTTTTCTATGTCTCTACGGTTGGGCATGAGTCCTGATGCCCTGAGGCACTGCGCGGCCTCTGGTTGGACAGGGAAGGTGTGTGGGGTTGCAGGGAGCAGGTGCCATGCCCCTGTTCTATTCCCTGCCTCCCAGCCTGTGCCTGTCGCTGACCTGAGAGCAAAGTAGTTGAAATAGATTTGGAATAGGACAATTTTCTTTAACCATTCATGTGCTGCCCTTGATTTTACAAATTGCAGCTTATTTTGTTAAGCCCGTAATTCCTTTTTTGATTTGGTCATATAGTCTGAGTCATCCATCTCAGCTCAAGTCAGCTGTGCTTGGGTCCAGTTCTCAGCCCATGAAGCAGGCTGTGGGTGGCTAACTTTCAGACCCACTGAGCAGGAGAGACTATCTAGGCTACCACCTGTCAAAATGTTTGAGAGCAGAAACTCTTCCTTAAATGAAATCAAATGGAGAACACCAACAGGTTAAAAAAGGAATGCAGGATAAGGCAGGGCAGAGGCCTGGTCCACAAACTCAACCCCGTTGGCCCCCAAGTGACCCGACCCTAAGTAACTTCCTGGACCCCGATGGCACCATGGGAACCAGGGAAAACCAAAGCTTAAAGTTCTTAGTTCACAGCAGAGAAAATGGCACTGGCTGGGCTCAGTTTTCCCTCTCAAATTCCTTACAATTTCAAACAACTTTTATTCCATTAGGAAGAATAGTGCAGGCGGTGCTATGTTGTAGAGAGTTCAGGTTCTGGAGTCACAAAGGCTGGCTATGAATGGCAGGCCAGCTTCCTACAAACTATGTGGCAGTAGACACTCATTTAGCTTCTCTGAGCCTCAGTTTTCCCATCTGTATAACACCTGCCTTGGAGACCTGCTCCGAGCATTCAGTGTCATGAAGTACAAGAGGTGCCACTTCTTCAGGGAGCTGCCCCTAATGTCTCCAACGGATGACAAGGTTCCTCTTACTCCATAGTCTCAGAGTTTCCTGTAAGCATCCTTCTTCTCACCTGCCAGAATTCTGAATTATAGCTCTGTTTATGATTTGAGTTTTACCGATCTCCCTGTCCGGACTGGGAAAGCAGGCACTCTTCAGGGTGAGGCATGACTCTTTAGCTCTGCATATGTCACCAGTACTTAGGACAGTGCCCAGTACATGGCAGGTGCTTAATATGTTGAATACATGAACTCATGACCCCACATGCAGTGTGGCATCCTGGCACAGGGCACTCTGATCGCACTAGTCAGGCACGTGGCCCACTCTATTATAGGTCGTCTAACCTCCCTCTGCCTCAGTTGTCTCCTCTGCAAAATGGAGAAACAAAGTTCCAGCCTAACAGGGGTTTGGTGAAGAATGAATGAGATGATGTCCGTGAAATTTTGGCAGTGTGCCAGGTACCCCATGAGTGCTTACTAAATGTTAGCTATGAAAATTGTCCCATTACCCACCAACGTATCCAAGGTTACTTCTCTTTCTTCTCTTCACAAACTTACTCTGGATCAGAGGCATGGAGGTCAAAATCCCAGTTTTTTAGTCAAAGTATAGGCTAGCCAAGAATTTATGTTGGGTTGCCAGGTGTGGTGGCTCACACGTGTAATCCCAGTACTTTGGGAGGCCAAGGCGGGTGGATCATGAGGTCAGGAGTTCAAGACCAGCCTGGCCAAGATGGTGAAACCTGTCTCTACTAAAAACTACAAAAATTAGCCAGGGGTGGTGGTAGGCACCTGTAATCCTAGCTTCTTGGGAGGCTGAGGCACAAGAATCGTTTAACCCCGAGCAGCAGAAGTTGCAGTGAGCCTAGATCATGCTACTGCACTCCACTCTGGGTGGCACAGTGAGACTCCATTTCAAAAAAAAAATAGTGATGTTGGGTTTAGAGGACTAAAGTGTTCTATTCTGCTTCTGCTTTCCAGTTTAGTGAGGGTCTATGTGAGTGAAGAACCAGGTGAGCTGATCATGCACAGCTCTCTGCATATGATTTGCATGATTTGTGGGGAAGAAAAGGACAGTTATTCTTTCAATTGGTTAATTCAATTACTACTTACTGAGCACCTACTAGATGCCAGGCATGGTTCTGCATGGTGGGAATAGAGTGGTAAAAATGCAGAGGACATGTGAATTAACGCAACTGTACCACTATACACCTACTAGAGTGAACAAAATCCAGAACACTGACAACTCCAAGTTCTGGCGAGGATGTGGAGGGAGCGACAGGAACTCTCACTTCTTACTGGCGGGAATCCAAAATGGGACAGCCGTTTTGGAAACCAGGTTGGTAATGTCTTACAAAACTAGGCCTACTCTTACCATACAATCCAGTCATCATTTTCCTTAGTAGTTATCCAAAAGAGCTGAAAATGTACGTCCACAGCAAAATTTGCGCACTGAAGTTTACAGCTGCTTCATTCACAATTGCCAAAACATGGGAGCACCTAAGATGTCCTTCTGTAGGTTACTGGGTAAATAAGCTGTAGTATATATAGATAATGGAATATTACTCAGCACTAAAAGGAAATGAGCTATCAAGCCATGAAAAGACATAGAGGAAACTAAAATGTGCATAACTAAGTGAAAGAAGCCCATCTGAAAAGTCTACACACTGTATGATTCCAACTATGTGATATTCTGGACAAGGCACAGCTCTAAAAACTGAAAACATCACTGGTTTCCAGGGTGGAGGGGAGCGAGGGACAAATCAGCGTATCGCAGAGGAGTTTTAGGGCAGTGACATTGCTCCATATATCACTACCGTGGTGGATACATGTCACTACACATTTGTCCAAACCTGCAGAATGTACAAGTCCAGGGGGGGACCCTACTGTGCACCAGGGATCCTGAGTGATCATCATGTGCCACCGTGGGTTCATCAAAGGTAAAACTTATACCACTTTGGTAGAGGAGGTGCTGCATGGGGGGGGCAGCAGGTGCATGGGGAATCTCCCCTTAATTTTGCTGTGAACTTTTACATCTGTTTTTTTTTTTGTAAATAAAGTCTTTTTAGAAAAAAAAAAGATGACAGTTCTCATCCTGATAGAGGGACATCTTTCTTCTAGTTTTGTGTGGGGGGAGAAAGTGGCATAGAAAATAAAGAAGATAAGTAAAATGCATATTGTGTTCTGAAGTGAAAATGTAGTTACAACAAAAGGGGGCAAGGGACAGCCAAGGTGGGGAGCAACGTAAAATTTTAAGTTGGGAGGTCCAAGAAAGACCTCAAAATGTAAGGTGACAGTAGACAGAGATCTGAAGGAAGCCAAGGGGTATGCCTTGCAGATTTCCGGAGAAAATCACCCAGGCAGAGAAAGCAGCCAGTGCAAAGACCTGAGCGGGGTGGGGGAGGCAGGGGACGGGAGCAGCGGGCAGAGAAGGGGCGCGCATGCCTGACATCAGGGGAACTGTGAGGAGCTGCCATGTGACTTTCAAACACTTGAGGATCAAGGGCGCCACAGTTTCCAATTTAATTAAGCTCACTACAGCAGGTGAACACTTCCGCTTAAAATGTATTACATTTGAATACCATTTTTGTGGCTCTCTGGGATGTGAGCTTCACATAAAATTGCTCAATCATTGAGCATCGTGGGCTCCATCTGCGCAGTCGCCACCTCCCACTAGCAATTTCATATACTTGAACTCTCCAGCAAATTGATAGGATATTATTCACACTTCGGTTTTTCTCAGAAGGAAGTATAATAATGTATACCGCTCCAACAAATTACCCTTTCCACAGGGCTTTTGTCCGTGGGGTCTCATTTAATTTGAAGCTCACAAAGCATAAAAAGGAGAGAGCTGTTATCCCATTTTGCAGAGAAGGTAACGGAGGTTTACAAAGGGTACACACCTAGGAAGAGGAAGGACCATTTTCCATTTCTACTACACTGCTGAGTATATAATCACCGTGCTGTCTTCCTCTCCCTCAGAGCAGGGTCTATCACTTATTCATCTTGTTATTTTTGAGGCTTAGCTTTGGGCCTAACTCACAGAAATTGGGTTTAGAAAGAGAATAGAAAGGCAGCAAACCACATTGTCATGTTTGTACCTCTGCAACAATCCTGCACGATCTGCACATGTACCCCAGAACCTAAAGTACAATAATAAAAAAAAGAAGAAGAAGAATGAGGACTCCAAAGTGCCAGTGGCAGTTTTAACTTATAGTTTAATGGAAAACAAAACAAAAAGACAGAGAACCAGCTTTGGTGTCAGACCTGAGTCTAGCAAGGCTGTGCTGGAACCAGCTCATGCCAGCTTATCATAATCAAATGCTAAATATCCAGAAATGTTGCCAGCTGCCTGACATCACATTGCTAATTTAAAATCAACAATTGTAAGAAACTATTTACACCATGGCAATTGGCAAACAGGACTTGTTCTCTGCCCCCGCCACACCCCTACCCTGGGGAGCGGGTAGTTAAGCATTTACCAACACACCATTGCATTGCTTTTCATCCTAGTACTGACTCTTGTCAGCTATATATTTGCACAAATAACTTAGTCCACTAGTCCTCAGCTTTTCCAGCTGTAATCTGGAGATAACATCATCCACCATGCACAATGGCACTGAGGATTAATCAGGATAATAGGTGATGGACAGATGGTACTGGTACTACTATTACTGAATAGGTGTGGGATGAATTTAATAATTCCCCATGGACCAACCAAGAGAGTGCTGGTTACAGAAGACACTTGGGAAAGCATGAAGAGCAGTCAGAGAAATGGGCACAAGAAGGGGCTGTGTGGTGATGAGGGAGATGCAGAGTACCCCACAGTGTTACAGGATGTGTTACAGATCACCCATAAATCAGTTAGCATGGACTAGAACAAAAATGGCCCAAGATGGTAGCAGGGGTGGGTATCGGGATGAGACTGGACACAGAAAGACATTTATTCTGAGGGCCTTGGGGAGCCACTGTGGTATTTTATGCAGAGGAGTGGTAGGCACAGACTTACACTTTGATAAGATCTGCCTGTTAAGGTTATGCAGGTGATGGATAACTGGCTGGGCATTGAATACCAGTTGGGAGCCTATAGCAACAGTTAAGGCTAGGGACAATTGCTTCCATGGAAATGACGCTGCTCAGCATCTAGCAATTGTTTGTAAGGCTTATAAGCTTTGTCAAAGGTTTTCCTAGGGCCTTCTGGTCTCTGTCCTCACCCCCAGTCTCTTTCCCTGCCCTGTTGCTTCAGCCAGACTGGATCTGCCTTCAAATTTTATTTTTATTTTAATCAAAGCTCTCCACACTTAAAATTGAGCCACTGATTTAAGTGATTGTTTTGTGGCTGAAACTGGAATGTAGATATCCGTGTATTGACTCGGTCCATCGCTACTCAAAGACGGTTCTAGAAACCTACATTACCCTGAGAACAATTTAAACTAACTTCCAACATCTGTTCACGTCCTGAGCACGTTCATTCATTCTCTCGGTTGTTCAGGCAGCAGACAGGGACAGATGCCTCCCTCCTCCAATTTTAAACAAAACAGATGAACAGCAAGTCTAGTAATACAGCCAATTAGGTAAGTAGAAATGGATTTTGAAAATACAGCCCAAACACATGAATGAACTACTAACCCACTAACATTCAATCAGGGTAACAGTCTAATATTAAAAACTCAAGACACATTTTCCAAAAGTCCCTGTCCTTACGTCCGATGCTGGAGGAGGACAGAACACATAGTCACATGGAAAGGTGCAGCAATGTCACTTCAGATGCTCAGCCAGCCAGCGGCCAACCTCAAAGGACAAGTGCTAGTATAGGCACAGCTCATTTTTTCTGCGCTTCTCTTGACAGCACTTTGCAAATACTGCATTTTTTACAAAGTGGACGTGTGTGGCAACCCTGACTCAGGCATGCTGGTCAGTAACAGGTTTTCCAACAGCACACGCTCGCTTTGTGTCTGTCACATTTTGATAATTCTCGCAATATTTCAACCTTTTTCATTATTATGATATTCATTATAGTGATCTGTGATCAGTGATCTTTGTTTTCTTTTTCTTCTTCTTTTGCTTTTTTAAAATGGAGTCTCTGTCCAGTCTATCATCGATGGACATTTGGGTTGGTTCCAGGTCTTTGCTATTGTAAACTGTGCTGCAATGAACATTCGTATGCACATGTCCTTATAGTAGAACGATTTATAATCCTTTGGATATATACCCAGTAATGGGATTGCTGGGTCAAATGGAATTTCTACTTCTAGGTCCTTGAGGAATCGCCACACTGTATTCCACAATGGTTGAACTAATTTACACTCCCACCAACAATGTAAAAGTGTTCCTATTTCTCCACATCCTCTACAGCATCTGTTGTCTCTAGATTTTTTAACGATCGCCATTCTAACCAGCGTGAGATGGTATTTCAACAGGGAAAATGTGGCACATATACACCATGGAATATTATGCAGCCATCAAAAACGATGAGTTTGGGTCCTTTGTAGGGACATGGATAAACCTGGAAACCATCATTCTCAGCAAACTGACACAAGAGCAGAAGATCAAACACCGCTGTTCTCACTCATAGGCGGGTGTTGAACAATGAGAACACATGGACACAGGGAGGGGAGCACTACACACTGGGGTCTGTTGGGGGGAAATAGGGGAGGGACAGTGGGGGGTGGGGAGTTAGGGAGAGATAGCATGGGGAGAAATGCCAGATATAGGTGATGGGGAGGAAGTCAGCAAATCACGCTGCCACGTGTGTACCTATGCAGCAATCTTGCATGTCCTTCACATGTACCCCAAAACCTAAAATGCAATAAAATAAATTAAAAAAATAATAATAATAAAATAAAATGGAGTCTCACTCTGTCGCCCAGGCTGGAGTGCAGTGGTGCAGTCTTGGCTCACTGCAGCCTCTGCCTCCTGGGTTCAAGCAATTCTCCTGCCTCAACCTCCCAAGTAGCTGGGATTACAGGTGTGTGCCACTATGCCCGGCTAATTTTTATGTTTTTAGTAGAGATGGGGTTTTATCATGTTGGCCAGACTGGTCTGGAACTTCTGACCTCAAGTGATCCGCCCACCTCAGCCTCCCAAAGTGATCAATGATATTACTATTGCAATGAGCTGCACCCACATAAGAAGGCAAACTTAATCAATAAATGTTGTGTGTGTTCTCAATGCTCCACCACGGGTCGTTCCTCCCATCTCACTCCTTCTCCTTAGGTCTCCCTTTTCCCTGAGACACAACAATACTGAAATCAGGCCAAGTAATAACGCTGCAATGGCTTCTGAGTGCTCAAGTGAAAGGGAGATTCCCGTGACTCTCAATTTAAATCAAAAGCTAGAAACGATTAAGTTTAGTGAGGAAGGCATGTCAAAAGCCAAGGGAGGCTAAAAACTGGGCCTCTTTTGACGAACAGTTAGCCAAATTTTGAATGCAAAGAAAAAATTACTACAGGAAGTTAAAAGTGCTACTCCAGGGAACTTACCAATGATACAGAAGAGAAGCAGCCTTTTTGCTGATATGAAGAAAGTTTGAGTGGTCTGGACAGAAAATCAAACCAGCCACAACACCCCCTTAAGCCAAAGCCTAATCCACAGCAAGTTCCTAACTCTCGTCAATTTTATGAAGGCTGAGAGAGGTGGGGAAGCTGCAGAAGAAGAGCTGAAAGGTAGCAGAGGTTGGTTCAGGAGGTTTAAGGGGAAAAAAAGCTGACTCCAGAACATAACAGTGCAAAGTGACTCCAATGAGTTCATGTCCTCCGCAGGGACACGGATGAAGCTGGAAGCCATCACTCTCAGCAAACTAACACAAGAACAGAAAACCAAACACCTCACATTCTCACTCATATGTGGGTGTTGAACAACGAAAACACATAGACACAGGGAGGGGAACATCACACACAGGGGCCTGTTGGGGTGTGGGAGGCTAGGGGAGGGATAGCATTAGGAGAAATACCTAATGTAGATGACGGGGGTGATAGATGCAGCAAACCACCATGGCATGTTTATATCTATGTAACAAACCTGCATGTTCTGCACATGTACCCCAGAACTTAAAGTATAATTTAAAAAATGCAAAGTGAAACAGCAAGTGCTGATGGAGAAGCTGCAGCAACTTATCCAGAATATCTTGCTAATGTCATTGACAAAGGAGGCTGCACAAAACAACAAGTTTTTCAATTAAACAAAACAGCCTTATATTTATATAAGAAGGTGAACTTAATCAATAAACGTGGTGTGTGTTCTGAATGCTCCACTCACTGGCCATCCCCCATCTCACTTCATAAACGTATTGGAAGTAGGTGCCATCTAGGACTTTTACATCCAGAAAGAAGTCAATGCCAGTTTTAAAGTTTTAAAAACAGGCTGACTCTTGTTAGGGGCGAATGCGGCTGGTGACCTTAAGTTGAAGCCAATGATCATTTACCATCCGAAAATCCCAGGGCCCTTAAAATTTTTGCTAAATATATTCTGCTTATACTCTATGAGTGGAACAATGAAGCCTGAAAGACAGCACATTGGATTACAGAATGCTTTACTAAATATTTTAAGCTCACCATTGAGAAAACGATACTACTGCTCAGAAAATAAGATTTCTTTCAAAATATTACTGCTCGTTGATAATACACCTGGTCACTCAAGAGCTCTAACGAAGATGTACAAGGAGATGAATGTTGTTTTCATGCCTAATAACACAATATCCATCCTGCAGCCCATGGATCAAGGAGTAATCTTGACCTTCACATCCCATTATTTAATGTTGGGGCCAGGTGCGATGGCTCATGCCTGTAATCCCAGCATTTTGGGAGGCCGAGGCAGGTGGAGCACTTGTGGTCAGGAGTCTGAAACCCATCTCTACTAAAAATACAAAATTAGCCCGGCATGGTAGTGGGTACCTGTAGTCCCAGCTACTTGGGATGCTGAGGCAGGAAAATCTTTTGAAGCCAGGAGGCGGAGGTTGTAGTGAGCCGAGATCGCACCACTGCACTCCAGCCTGGGTGATGGCAATATTCCATCTCAAAAATAATAATAATAAGTACATTTTGCAAGGCTATAGCTGCCAGTGATCATGATTCTGCTGATGGATCTGGGCAAAGTAAATTGAAAATTTTCTGGCAAGAATTTGCCATCCTAGGTGGGCAAAGTAAATTGAAAATCTTCTGGAAAGAATTTGCCATTCTAGATGCCATTGAGAACATCTGAGGCCAGGCGTGGTGGCTCACGCCTGTAATCCCAGCACTTTGGGAGGCCGAGGCGGGCAGATCACGAGGTTAGGAGTTCAAGACCGGCCTGGCCAATATGGTGAAACTCCGTCTCTACTAAAAATACAAAATGAGCTGGACATGGTGGTGCATGCCTGTAATACCAGCCACTCCGGAGGCTGAGGCAGGAGAATTGCTTGAACTGGGACCCACGAGGCGGAGGCTGCAGTGAGCCAAGATTGCAACACTGCACTCCAACTTGGGCTACAGAGCAAGACTCCACCTCAAAAAAAAAAAAAAGGAACACCTGTGATTCATGAGAGAGGAGGTCAAAATATCACCATTAACAGGAGTTTAGAAGAAATTGATTCCAACCCTCATGGATGCCTTTGAGAGTTTCAGGACTTCAGTGGAGGGAGTTACTGCAGATGTGGTGGAAATAGCAAGAGAATTAGAAGTAGAGGGGGAAGATATCACTGAATTGTTGCAATCTCATGACCAAACTTGAACAGATGAGGAGTTGATTCTTATGGATGAACAAAAAGAGTAGTTTCTGAGGATGGAGCCTACTGCCTGTGAAGATGCCATGAATATTTTTGAACCAATAACAAAGGATTTAGAATATCACATAAACAGTTGAGAAATCAGCAGCAGGGTTTTAAAGGATTGACTCTATTTTTAAAAGAAGTTCTGCCATAGGTAAAATGCTATAAAACAGCATCTCATGCTACAAAGAAATCTTTGGTCAAAGAAGAATCAAACATTGCGGCAAACTTCACTGCTGTCTTTAGGAAATTGCCAGAGCAACCACCACTCTGGTCAGTCAGCAGCCGCCAACATCAAGCAAAAAGATGAAAACTTGTTGAAGACTCAGATAATCATAAGCATTTTGAGCAATAAAGTATTTTTATTTTTTATTGTACTTGAGGTTCTGGGGTACATGTGCAGATCATGCAGGGTTGTTGCCTAGGTACTTACATAGCAAGGTGGTTTGCTGCCTCCATCCCCGTCACCTATATCTGGCATGTCTCCGTATGTTATCCCTCCCCAACCTCCCTACCCCCTGCTGTCCCTCCCCTAATTCCCCACTAACAGACCTCAGTGTGTAGTGCTCCCCTCCCTGTGTCCATGTGTTCTCATTGTTCAACACCCACCTATGAATGAAAACATGCGGTGTTTGATTTTCTGTTCATGTGTCAGTTTGCTTTGATGGTTTCCAGATTCATCCATGTCCCTACAGAGGACAGGAACTCACCATTTTTTATGGCTGCATAGTATTCCATGGTGTATATGTGCCACATTTTCCTTGTTCAGCCTATCACTGATGGGCATTTGGGTTGATTCCAGGTCTTTGCTGTTGTAAACAGTGCCACAATAAACATATGTGTTTGTGTCTTTATAAAAGAAAAATTTATAATCCTTTGGGTATATACCCAGTAATGAGACTGCTGGGTCAAATGGAATTTCTATTTTCACATCCTTAAGGAATCGCCACACTGTCTTCCACAATGGTTCAACTAATTTACACTCCCACCAATAGTATAAAAGTGTTCCTATTTCTCCACATCCTCTCCAGCATCTGTTGTCCCCAGATTTTTTAGTGATCGCCATTCTAACTGGTGTGAGGTGGTATCTCAATGTAGTTTTGATTTGCATTTCTCTAATGACCAGTGATGATGAGCATTTTTTCATATGTTTGTTGGCCTCATATATGTCTTCTTTTGAAAAGTGTCTGTTCATATCCTTCGCCCACTTTTGAATGGGTTTGTTTTTTCTTATAAATCTGTTTCAGTTCTTTGTAGATTCTGGATATCAGCCATTTGTCAAATGGGTAGATTACAAAATTTTTTTCCCATTCTTTTGGTTGCTGATTCACTCCAATGATTGTTTCTGTTGCTGTGCAGAAGCTCTGGAGTTTAATTAGATCCTATTTGTCTATTTTGGCTTTTGTTGCCAATACTTTTGGTGTTTTAGTCATGAAGTCCTTGCCTATGCCTATGTTCTGAATGGTTTTGCCTAGGCTTTCTTCTAGGGTTTTTATGGTGTTAGGTCTTATGTTTAAGTCTTTAATCCATGTGGAGTTAATTTTAGTGTAAGGTGTCAGGAAGGGGTCCAGTTTCTGCTTTCGGCACATTGCTAGCCAGTTTTCCCAACACCATTTAGTAAACAGGGAATCCTTTCCCCATTGCTTGTTTTTGTCAGGTTTGTCACAGATCAGCTGGTTGTAGATGTG